CCCCTGGTCCGCGCCGCCGCACCGCTGCCCGTAGCCGCCGCACCGCTGCCCGTGGCCGCCGCGCCAGCTGTGGCCAAGCTCGACTTCACGGACGCCTACCCGCAGTACCAGTTCGCGTACACAGTCCGAGACTCGTTGACCGGYGACGCCAAGGACCAGGAGGAAGTACGCGACGGCGATGTTGTCAAAGGCCGCTACAGCTTGATCGAACCCGACGGCAGCCGCAGGACCGTCAACTATTACGCCGACGATGTCAACGGATTCAACGCGGTCGTCCAAAAGGACGTGCCAGTGGTGGCTCCAGCCGTCGCCCCTGCCGTAGTGGTATAATGACTGACGCCGTATAACGATCATCGCCGCCACTGAATCCGCCGGACATAATCTCCGTATATATATATTACGTGTATTTTTATTTTATGTTTGTGTTTTCTTTTTGTACATAACTTTTTCCTCGCTGTTACCTATATTGTATTTTCTTTTATATTTCAAGGCAATAAATAAAGTTTCTAACTCTTAAAAATATAATATTATATATTACTTCTGCGTAAATTGTTTTCTTATATAAAACATGGTTAGGGACACCTTCTATATACTTATAGGCTATAACCGTGTTAGTGTTAAGTATATGTATGAAGTGCATATACAATAGCTCTGTAAACCACAAAGTCGATTTGGAGACTTGATAAGTACAAACCGACACCCGTACCTCCTCTATACGTACCTGCTCACGAGTATACACCAACGTCCAACTATAATAATTCATTATCATAACATATTTTGTTATATTAAAGTATTATTGTTTTTATAGATGCTTGTCTAGTCGCCTGTCATTAGTACAAAAGAACATGAYGGGTTGATATGATGTTTTATGCCTATAAGTAGAAGTCTGGTGGATCAGTACCTCTCAAATAGGGCGTAACCCTATAGATACTCAAAGGCATTTTAGAAAGAAATTAAAAGTGCCTAGTTAAAAAAAAAAATACTGTAGAGGGTTACAATTTTATTATAAAAAATAAAACTAAATATATTTGAACATATAATATATTTACTATAGGTACTTTKAGAAATTAATATTATTTATCGATGATATTATATTTACTTACCATAATATAATATTATATAGACACTGAATCTCGATGATTTGTGTCGTATACCTACGTCATACGTCATATTAATAATATTAACGAAGTTTAATCATGCACTGTAAATATTAATAATAATGTACTCTTCTAACTCCGTATAAAGGATACGTATCTTACTACGTAGATAATGAGGCATATTAATATTTTCTGCACAATCTGAATGTAGAATAAAATTATCTAATTATAATTACCAGTATTGTATAATTTTATAATAGTATGTATAATGTATTGTGTTAATTTTAAAATGATATAATAATATTTGTTTTCAATAATTCAAGTCGTTGTTGCTATATTTTGATAAGTCCTATTGACTGATCAAAATTCTTTCATATATACTCTCGCCCAAAAAAAAAAAAAAATCCTTAATCTTAATTATGTTACTGAGTGCATTTAGAACTTGCCACGCTTTTCAGACACATATATATTACACCTATACGATGACCCGTTCTAGGCTCGTGGGATTTCTATTCCTCAGTGACGTTCACCAAGGGAACAAAACTACATTATACCTATAACTATAGTTTCTACACACAATTTACACACCCAATATACGGAGTTTTACAAACTAGACTGATCAATTGGGTTTCTGGTCGTGGCTTATATTAGTTACACACTATCGCCACAAGTCGCCATATTAATACCAACTAGCTGTAGGATCTTATCAATTGAATTATATTTATATAAACCTGTATTATAATAAAAATGCAATGGAAGTTGTTATGATTTTTGACTGCGATTCGTTTGCGCTTCATAGAAGTACTTCATTTCGTGTTAGTTGAAATTGTAATTAGACATTTTTATCGAATAATTATACTGACGATATATCTGCATAATTGTTTGGTTAAATTTTAAAATCCATCAAAACATTAAAGTTCCTACATAATATCTCATATCTAAAACTGTAATGTAATCGATATCTAAACTTGGTACACCAACATATACAATTATTTTTGATTTATTGTAGAACTATAATATCGATCATATATATATACGAATATATATCGATAATAAAATATCGAGCTGCGATTATATAAATTATATTTTCCACAAAAACAAAAGATTAGTACATTAATATTTACATTCTATTGATGCGTATAATGTATATCATATTAATTCAAATATCTTGCATAAAGTAATTTTAATAATTAAATTTAGAGTGCGGGATTTTTTTTTTTATGTACGTAAATAAACAATGCGATTTATTTGAATTGCTAACCTGTTTTGAAAGGAGAACTTAAGAATTACATTAATTTATATACTGTAAATTTGCATATAGGTTGAAAAATAAATAACTAAGGTATTTATAAGTAACAAAATTTATTGTATTTTTTTAAATATATATATTATATACAAATTTAATAATTGATAAATGTGCCATAAAGAAATATTTATTTTGATTTCAATACTTCCTATATAGGTACTAAGTATATAAA